CAAATTGTTTTCTTCTTCAACTAAATTTAACCTCTCGACAATAGGGTCGGTTGGAATTTCCGGTTCAACAACCTCCTAGATAAATAAAATCTATGTCACGTTGGTCGGCATAATTGTCATAAACAATAAATGAACCAATAGTTATGAAAAGATAATATATACCACATCTGAATCATAGACAGGACGAGGGCCGACGGGGGCGGATACCAAAACCACCGCACTATATAAGATGCAATAATAAAAGTAAGAAAATTATACAAGTATCTATATAAATATACAAGTAAGATCTTTTTTCCTTTCAGAAAGAAGATAAGAACAAGAGGCTCACCACGGTGGTGCCGGCGACGAGATCGGCGCGGGCGATCGACGACGGTGAAGACGGGGACGGGACGTGACGGACCGCTAAACCTAGACAAATATTGAGGAAAATGGAGCTTGGAGGTCGAGCTTGGAGAGGAGAAAGCTTAAGTAGTGTGGCTCGGGCATTCCATCGAACACCTCGTGTGCATAGGAGGTGAGCTAGAGCACCACAAAGCTCTCCCCTCGCCGGCCACGAAAAACAGAGCACTGGGAGTGCTCTACTCGCGGGCGAGGGGTAGATATAGGCAACTAATTGGTCCCGGTTCGTGCCACCAACCTGGACTAAAGGGCAGCCTTTGGTCCCGGTTCAGTCCACCAACCGGGACCAATTGTTGTGGGCCAAGAGCAAGGCGCATTGGTCCCGGTTCGTCCCACCAACCGGAACCAATAGGTCCAGCCGAACCGGGACCAATGGCCCACGTGGCCTGGCCGGCCCCGGGGCTCACGAACCGGGTCCAATGCCCCCATTGGTCCCAGTTCTGGATTGAACCGGGACTAATGGGCTGACCCGGCCCGGACCATTGCCCCCTTTTCTACTAGTGAACACGATTTCGGGGTGGAAGAAGATGGCGAGGTCGAAACCGGGCGGATTAGTGGATGGAAAAGGGTGGGGTGTGCGGGGAAAGCTAGATCCACACGCATCAATACAAATCCATGGACCAAATCCAACAAAATTTCAACTCACCAACAAATCACAAAAATATTTGGGGCTATTTTTGGTGGGGATTTTCGGATTTAGGACGAAAACAACAAAATCAAGCTAGAAAACATGGGATAGGGGCTCCAAAAACGTGATCAACGTGGCTCATGATACCAAGATGATGTAGGGCGGAACCCTATGGGGACGATCTTTCACGTTTGGAGTGGATCCTACGGGGAAACACGAAGAACGCGCGAAAGAACATAAGGGAAATCACGGGGAGGAACGAGAGAAACACTCAACCAACAAGTTATTGATCACGCGAGGGCTAGATCACCGAACACATAAGGTAGCACAAGATTCAAAATCAACAAAGGAAAGATACAAGAGTAACCGTTCTTCTCCGTGAGGAGGTCTTGGGGGTCTTCCCTTGAAGGGGTCTTGAATCCGCTTGGGGAAACTTCTCCGAAGAGGTCGTGAGCTCCGAGGAGAAGTAACCAAGTGGATGAGCAAGGCTCTCACACAAAATATGAGCTAAACCAATGCTAACCCTAAGCTAGGAGGTGGGAGAGACCTATTTATAGTCGTAGTGCAAATGGGAGTCAAAGTGAAGGGGTACAAGGGCTTTAGCACGTGGGTGCGGTCACACAGGTGCCGGACGTCCGGAGGCTCGGGACGGTCCGGACGTCCGGGAGGGCTCAGACTTCCATAGATTCAGCTCTGTCGGGGATGCGTCGGACGTCCGGAGGTGGCCGGTCGTCCGGAGCTTCGAGACGGTCTGGACGTCCGATGACCGTCGGTCTTCCGTAGATTTGGCTTGGTCGCTGGTCGCCCGGTCGCCGGGTCCTCCTCGGACATCCGTAGATTTGGCTCGGGTGGTGAAGTACGGGATGTCCGGAGGGCTCGGTCGTCCGTGTCCTGGGAGTCATCGGACGTCCGGACTGGGTCGGTCGTCCGACACCTGTAGCTTCCAAAGCAGCTCTTCTTCTTGTCCATCACACTTGGGGTCCTCGCCATCTTGGCCCTTGCATGTAGCTGTCCCGTGGCTCTTCTCCAAGCACCTGATCACACACAGAGTTTCCGAATGAGGTAGTGGCCATGTCTCGTGAGTAGGAAGAGGGAGTTCGGAGAGGAGCGAGTTCACCTTACTTCAATAACCTTAGCTCGAGCTCTTGTCATGGGTCCAAGTGGTGTTGAGGGAGATGTAGATACATCCATGGGGGTGAGCGAGGGATGCTCCGCATCACTTCTCTTCGCCCAGATCTGGATCCCGCTGGTGCGGTGGCTCACATGGCCCGGCAGGCTCCATTGCTGCAGCTGGGGGGTCAGCGGTGGCTGCTGTCGACGAAGTAGGCGTGTGGTGGTGTGTTGTGGTCGGCGGTGAGGGTTTGGGTGCAGGTGGCGGCCGAGACCGACCGGCTCTGTCTATGCAGGTGCTCGAGGTGAGTGGCTGTGATAGCGGATGTCTCTTGCTGGACCTAGCGGGGACGTTCGTCGGGGACTGGCAGGAGTGGGTAGGTCTAGCGCTGCCGGACTTGGTGGACGGCGTGGCGGAGATGGCCGGGCCGGGATGCTTCAGGCGAAAGCCTTCTGCCGACATCGTCGGCAACTATGATGGCGACGTCCTCGGGCATCGTTTCCCTTCATGAAGGCATCATTGGGGAGCTACCGTTGGCCGCTATTTTCCTGTGCTCTGGGCGAAAGCCTTAGATCCTTCTCTGGATCGGACGACGACGCCATCCTTGATGTCGTTTTCCCCCTTGGGGGGCGTTGTTTTAGGAGCCATGGATCCGCAGTTGGTCTATTGATGTCTGGGTTGGAGCGTTGGTTCGGGTTGTTGGTTTGTAGGGCGGTGGCGGTGGAGGTGCTCTGTAGCGGTGACCAATGCCTTGGTCATCCAGTGCTGATGGTTGGCCTCTCCTTTTGGGGGCTCGTGGCGGCGGTGAGGTCTCGGTGGTCGCTGCTCTTCGACGGCGTTTGTGATTTGGTTGCCTCGCAGAGTGCTCTGGTTCTCTCTATTTGCGATGGTGGCCGTGGTGTGGCCCAGAGGAGGTGCAGGATTGTCTCGGTGGATCATTGCCCTTCGGCGCGGTCTGTGGCTCTCTCTATCACGACGTTCCTAGGCAGTGGGATGCCCTTCGACGGTGGCTGCGACTTACTAGCTCTTCAAGGTGCTGAGTGAATGGAGAGCAGCAGACGACTTCTTCTCTACGTCTTCTCGGCGGTGGACATCCTTTCGTCTTTCGACCAATCCAACAAAGCTAGTTCCCGCTCTTCTCGGTCCGCCGGTGGCGATGGGTGCTAAGTTCTCGGTGTTGGCTGCTTGTCGCAGCTTTGCTTCTGGTTCTCTCTCTGTGGTTCTTTGTTCGTAGCTTGCGTCTCGTTCTCCTCTCTGTTTTTCTTTGTTCCTTCTAGGGTGTGTTGGCTGCTATCTCTTGTACTCGTTGTCTTGTATCTCTCTTATTTATAATGAAAATGGTTCAGGCTTGCGTAAGCCAGCCGTAGCACCGTCAAAAAAGAAAAGAAAAATCAATGCCGATGCTGCTGTTGGAAGGGGATGCGCTCATGGTAGTGTGGGTGGCTGGGTGCTGTGTGCAGGGATCAACATGGAGTTTTCCTTGGAACTTCAGCCGTTGTTTTCCCTCACATAAAAGACCCGGCAACACTCGAGTCACTTGCCATCAGGGAGGCCCTAGAACTACCAGATGATCTCTATGAAAGAAAGATGCAGGCGGATGGCAAAGTGGTTGTTGACGATATCTACCAGAAGAACCAAGGGGTCTATGGGGTGATCGTTCATGAAATTATACAACAGAAGTCTACTTCTGATATATGTAATATTAGTTATGGATTTAGGAGTTCGAATTTCAAGCCTCACAAACTCACGAAGCACGCTTTATCCCTAAGGGTTGGCCGCCATGGTCAGCCCAATGGACTAGATTTCGTCCTTGTAAACATTTTGATGGTGCAATAAAGCTTCGGAGTTTGTATTAAAAAATCCTGAAATATATACATCTAGATTTTCTCGTTTCCCTAAAAAAAAGAGATAGATTTTCTCCTGGATATTTCCCTTCACCCCACATCGGTCGATTCCACCTGTCGTCGGGAGCGTTGCCGCCGGCGAACCGCGCGTTTGCCGTCGCCCCGTTCCCTTCCTCATCTACCTATCTTCTCCTCGCGTTCGCAACCAACCATGAATGCCAGGCGCTGTCATGGCCGTCCTCATCTCCTGATCACCGCGCACCACGGGCCATCAACGATGGGATGTCGGCAGATCTAGCTAGGCACGAGCACCTGTGATGCGCCATCACTGAATCTGGCCTATCACGGACACCCGCGTCCTGCTGTTGTCGGATTGTCTCATCCCGCGACGTTGCGTCCGGCTCCGACCGCCGATGCCACGTGCTCTACCCCCCTCGTAACCTCGTCGCTCCGCAATAGGGGCCTGTTGCAATTGCAACAGGGTCTTGTTGCAATCTCGACGGACACTGCCGTGAGCTAGTAGTTTTGTTTTCAACATTTTTTTTTTGCGGGGGTTCAACATTTTTTTTTAACAACAAGGCTTTTGTTGCAAGATGTTTTTCTACAATAAGGATCTTGTTGCAATTATGAGATCGGATTGGACGGCTGGTGACCCGGCGGAGCACTCCCCGTATTTCTACCGGTTCTGTTCTCCACGCAAAAACCCAACCAGACAAGCCAAACTTTAGGAGATGCTGCGTGACAAAAGGATGCGACCCGGGCAATGCACAGGATAATACCATCCTCGAAAAGAAAAGATACTAATTCACAGGATACACACAGGACTATGCACATGCAGACACCAGGCCTGCTCACTGATGTTATACACACACCGCACGCCAAAATCGCCGAATGGAACAAGAACGGAAAATACATATACATGGACAGAAAGCTACAACAACAACACCCAAGGGTCACAGGGACAGTTGTTGCCTCATAGGGTATATCGCAAAGCTATCTATGTATGGGAAGTGGAGGTTCAGACGGTGTTCCACTTGATCTCGAGCTGCAGCTTGCCGTTCCTGGAGTTGATGAGGTGGTACTTCTCGTTGATCCGCCCGTTGTTCACCACGTCCACCAGGTTTATGTTCACGTGCCCCAGCGACTCCTGCAAACCATACAACACACACAGAGAAAGAAGCTCCGCCGGCGTCAGAGACTCAGAGGGAACGAAGGCCGGCAAAGACAAGCTGTTAGGAAAGAAAAAGTGGGAGCAGCAAACCTGGGTGCGGAACGGGAGGAGCCTACGGCGTCTGCTTCTGATCTCGATGTGGATCTTCTCATCCATGGGGGCCTCGTCCACCACGAACTGGAACTCCTCGTTCCACCTTGGATCTCGAGCCTTCCTGATCACCTGCAAGTACATGGACTACGAGTTTATATTCAGATCAGAGGAGACACTTCCTAGTAGATTAAAACAGACTTCTGCATTCAGATGTGTCTGTTTAAACCCTGTATCTACTAGTACTTCCTATGGGCTTTTTATTCACAGTTGTTTGCACAGACAAGTCGTCATTAGCAATGTGGCCCACTTTCTCAGTTAACCGTCGGCACTTGGCAACTCCATAGACAGGATAAGGACCCTTTTTTATTTCATGACAGTGAACTTACTCTACAACCTGCTCTGCAGTCTGAACGCTACTTCTGAACTCAGACATGAGACATGGTTAACATTTTTTATTTTTATTTTTTTGAGAATCCATGGTTAACATATTTGTAGGGTTATCTGCAACTTGATAGTGCAGCGATTCACAACAGTCAATACTCAGAAGCCAAGCACCTGTCAATTACTGCTGCTACCCCAAAGTTTCCACTTAGAATGGATAGCTGATAACAGAGACCTGGCTAAGAAATCTGGCAACCTCCCTCTCTAAAATAAAAGAGTGAAGTGCACTGTAGGTCCTTAAACTATTTCAGGGGTGTCATATAGGTCCTCGAACTATGAAAATCGTCATTTAGGTCCTCGAAGTACAGTAAGTGTGTCATCCAGGTCCAAAATCTCACTAACCCCCTCTAAATGGCCAGCTGGCATGGTGAACAGTGTGAAAAATAAAAAATATGAACAAAAAAAAGCTGAAAATCTTGGGCATCAAAGATACCCCTGGTGCGTGAATAGTAAAAATGTTCATTAATTCAAAAAAATGTTCACGAATATGGAAAAAATATTCGCGACTTTATAAAAGTTCACAAACAATAAATTTGAAAATATGTTCGCGAACCACAAATATTGTTCGTGGGTATGGAAAAAAAAGTTCGTGAACCACAAAAATTCCTAACTTTAAAAAATGTTAGTGAACTTTTTATTAAAGTCGCAAATATTTTTTCCGAATTCATCGTTCACGAACATTTTATTAAAGTCACGAATATTTTTTCCAAATTCATCGTTCGTGAACATTTTTTTAAAGTCATGAATATTTTTTCCAAATTCATCGTTCGCAAACTTTTTTTAAACTCGCGAATATTTTTCCCAAATTCATCGTTCGCGAACATTTTTTTAAAGTCGCGAATATTTTTTCCAAATTCATCGTTCGCGAACTTTTTTTAAACTCACGAATATTTTTTTGAAGTCGCGAATATTTTTTTCCAAATTCATCGTTCGCGAACATTTTATTAAAGTCACAAATATTTTTTCAAATTCATCGTTCACCAACTTTTTTCGAATTAATGACATTTTTACTGTTCACGCGCCAGGGTCTCTTTGATGACAGAGGATCTCAGTTTTTTGATATTTTTTTATATTTATTCTTTGTCGTGTACTGTTCATCACGCATAGGAATTCAGGACTGTTTGCCGCGTACTGTTACGGTTACTGTTTATGTGCTAGCTGGCCAGTTAGAGCCTGTCAGGGAGATTTTGGACCTGAATGACACACTTACTACACTTTAAGGACCTAGATGACGATTTTCATATTTCGAGGACCTACGTGACATCCCTGAAATAGTTCAAGGACCTACAGTGCACTTCACTCAAAATAAAATAACAATTCAGTTTCTGCAAGTTAACATGCAGTGTCTGTCCGAAGAAGTACCGCGCTGCTTCCATTCAGCTCTACATAATGGTATATTACTCTACTCTGGCTAAACATATTAAGCTATCATTTTCTGTTTAATAACTGTATATGTTTCGATCCTTGTAATAATGCTACTAGGAGTAATGGTACGTAGTAGTTGCTCCAGGAAGGAACTGATATGGTAAACCATGTAACCAATAGAATGGCAAGTATGACACATAAAACAGAATGGATGTTTTAAGACGGTGATTTGTCATCGTAAGCTAGCCTTTTCTGCAAACTGGAACTAATAGCAGCATGTCAGAAAGGTTTGAACTGAAGAAGCAGCTTTGCCATGTTTGACAATGGTCATTCCAAAAGTAAAATAAAAGAATTTCATGGAGGTAGCAGGATTAAAACTAACCTTGGTTTCCCTCTTTTCGCCCCTAAAAAGAACCACGGCATACGGATTAGTGTGACGCTTCCCTTCGACATCTTCTGCATTTTCGACCGAAACTAACAGCACCCCACCACCGTCCGGGACGTCCCTTTTCAGACTGATATTGCCTTCAACATCTGAAATTAGAGGACTCGTGCTGTTTTCCTCTCTGAAAGGATCAAATGTCAGTTCCACGACAAGCTTTCCTCTATTCTTCTTGTTTTGCTGATCATTTGGGTTCATGCTTCTGAGAAGGTCTAGTGTGAACAACTTGCTCTCGTAAGGAGTAAGCAAGCGGAGGGGAATCACTTGCACGCCCATTTTATCATGCATTTTGACCTGCACAATCATAACAAGAGAACTGGTTAGTATCTGAATCTCTGGCAAGTTTTAAAGCAGAAAAACATAGCGAATGGACTATTTTTCAGAATGACAAGAAAACCTGTCTTCAGATCTATACTGTGTGGGTTTAAGAAATACATTAAAAATGACAGAAGGTAATTAAGTTGCATACAGCATGCTAAACCTTTTCCCAATCAAACATCTGGAGCTCGAGGACTTGTGTCTCAGGATCCTTGACAACGAGCCTGAAATGTTCGTTCCATTCAGGATTCAGGTTGCTCATCTTGACAGAGGTTTTCTTCGAGGGCAGTCTCTCGCCACTTAGCCGAAGCTTGACATAAGGATCAGATTTCCCAAGCAAGTCCATCTTGGGAAGATTCATGGCACGAACTACCTTGACATGCAATACTCCCACTGGTTTCTTTGTAGCACCACTGCAGAATAATTCAAATTTCGTATCAATAATTAATGCTCATATCCAAATTAAACCGGAAAAAGAAAATCCGTAGGCAAGAATAATGCTTGTTTCAACTGTAAGAAAGTGTATAAATAGCATTTTAGCGATATAACTACCTTTCACCAAACAAAATAACCTATCTAATAGCTACCCCCACGGTTTCTTTCCTTGAATAAAGGTAAGTGCATATATGTTTATGCAAAACCCAAGGATCGCTGTTAAAATTTTCGATACTAAACTCTCACTCCTCCAGATATAATGTCACTTACAGTTTGAATAATGTGTGTGGAATATAATGACATCATATATATGGTAATCAAGAGGGCTTGAATTCATACGTTGGCATGGAAGCAGGATATCAATAAATACAATTTAGTTTTTTTTTAGCATCAGTCACTCTTGACTTTATATTAGCAGAAGGATATTCAAGTTGATATATAGCATAACTTTCACGACGGTAGGTACTTGGTCGGATATCATTAGAGAATATCACCTTGCTCCATCTAAAATAGGAACTTCTATAACCTTAGGCCAATGATACAGGATTGCAATTTGCTTTGATATTTGCTCCTGTGAAAGAGAAAGAATATAGTTAACTATGTAAGTCCAAATAGAACCAGGTATATATACCATCAGTAATGAGGTAGGAACTATGAAATTGTTCAGGAAGTTGTAATTCAGTGTCCACACAGTAAAATTATGCGAAGGAGTAGAATAACACCTACCTGGACAAACCGATACAAACCAGGAATAGCCATGACATCTCCACCCAGCAATTTCAATCCGAAGTCAACATGCGGCTTCATAATAATAGCAGTGGAGTCAGTTTTTTAGTGAAGTTGTTACGAACCTAGTTGATTGCTGCTTGCAAACATGATAGAAGTTGTGTGGACATCTGTACAGTAAAGAAACATATTTCTACCTTCTCCATTAGTGAAACACACACACTGGCAAAACAGGGAAAGCTTGGCACAAGTGGCTTCAGAGTCGCTCGTGGTGTCAGCATTATATGCAAATCCAGAAGCTGAAAATAGTAATATGATCACGTCAGAGGTTTGTATAATGAAAAGAACCTAAACACATTGTCTGTATAATGCAGCCAGGGAGAAAACTGACCTGGGCGGACAATTTGAAAGAATGCACCTTCACATTCACAGTTACATTTGCTATGCTAGCCCACCGAATCACAGGTTCAATTACCAGTTCTTTTTCTCGCATTTCATAAACCTTAATTCCTGTTTGTTTAACCAAGGAAATGTAAAGGGAGATTATCAGACCAAACATCTTCAATCTCTACATGAGGATCAGAAGAAAAGGTTGGAACTGAAGTAAAACAATCCTTATATCCCCTGTTCGAAAATGTATAGCAACAGAAGTATAGGGTGCATATCCCAGATTCAAATTCTAGGAACAGTTGGCTTTACATGTTGATTTTTAACAAAATACCTACGAGTGAACGAAGTTTGGTAAGTCCATTCCCATCACTAAAGTGAGACTGCAGTGAGGAATGAGTGCAAATTACAGGTTTGAATTGGCGCCTTAATTTAATCTACTCGTATCTTTTAGCTGAGGTTTAAAAGCATGAAAGGCCATTGTACTTTGTGTGGTAGGCATCATTTGAGGAGATAATCTTGTTGTCCCCACTGAAAGGATTGCATCAGAATACTAAGTGGTTTAAAAGAAATTACAGACCTTGGAGTGTAGGTGGAAGAGCGCCAAGTGTTAAGTTTCCAAATTCAATTGATTCTATGCCATATTTTCCAACATACTGATCACATATTGGCTTTGCTACACCTCTTATTATTTTGCATATTGCCTGTGATAAAAAGAGGAGAACTATTAGGCTGATCATGTTTGTAACAAAAATTCACACATCATACAGATCAACGAAGCAATGAATAACACTCTAGAACATTCGTTAAAAGAACCTTATCCAGGAAAGGCCACATATCACAAATAAACTTGTTCATCCAATCAATCTGCAATAATAAATAAAATGGCATGAGTTTAGCCACTTGCAGTACTTTTGACAACATATCAAAAATTGGATTACGGCAAAATATAAAACTGAAACAACAATGGATAAATAAATGACGCAGTAGTGTACCGAGTACAAACCCGTTCATAGTCTGGATACTTGACCCATAACGGAATATCATTTACCATCGTCTGTAATGTCTCAAAATCTAAATCTCGCAGAGGTCTAACGACAGGATCCTGCAAAAGTCAATCATGAAAAATCAGATTGGAATATAAATGCTGATCATCTTGCATAGTCTGACTATAAGAGAAACTGTCGAACAACACCGATACACTGTCGTTAACTACAAGAACAGTCTCATCTTGCATAGTTTCATAGTGAAACGGGGCTGGCTGTCGATTTGGTGTAAAAGATGTATGTAATTCCATTTGAAGTGGACTGCTAATAAATGAAACATCTGTCATTTGTAGCCAATCACACAAATTACTTTGGCAGCATGTTCTTTAAATGTGTCGGGGCTTTAGGGTCGATACTGTCATACTGAACAGAGTTTCATTCAGCAATAGCATGATGGAAAATACCCTAGTCTACTGAAACCTAACGAAAGGGCAATCTCAAATCGCGTACCGATAGAAAAGAAGGGCACTAAAATCGCTTTCCGTCGTCGCGCCCGCCAACCTCCACCGGCGACGGTGCGGTCACGAGTTGCTGGCCGCCTACGCTGTAATGCCGATGCCGGCGCGACCGAGGCTGCGCGCGCCGGGGTCTTGGATGCGCCGCTCTTGTAGATGCCATCGTCGGCATGGACGAGGATCGGAGGATGGGTGGAGCGCGGCGGGGCCGTCTAGATTGGAGCATCGCGCTCGGGACTCAGAGGGAAGGAGTACCTCCGCGTGTTCAGGGAAGCGGTGGTTGGTGGGCTATGCATACTGTTAGGGGCCTAGTGTTTCCTTCCATTGCTGCTCGGAGCGTGCCGGAGAAGACGATCGTCGGAGGTGCGGAAGCCACGGCGGAGGGAGTGGGGTTGGGGGGAGAGATGTGGGATTGAGGAGGAGCTGAGGTGGCAAATGCGGGTGACATGTCAATCCACGTAAACAAGTTACTGTCCACGTCATCAAAAATGGCAGAAAACCGTTTGGAGTTTTTTTTTTTTGAGGCAACAACCGCTCGGAGGTGAAATGGCCCGATAGTATCCTCGAAAAAGAAATGGCCCAATAGAAAAGGAGTTTCAAAATTGTACTAAAATAATCCCTCTGTGTACTTATAAAAATTTCTAATTTAGATATATATACACGCATTTTAGTGTATTTGTTCACTCGTTTCAGCCCGTATTTACTCTATATTAAAGTACCTAAAACATATTACAATAGCGACTGGTGGGATTTGTTTTGAACATTTCTTTTGTTTGGGTGTATTAAATCAACACTAAATTTCGTTTGGTACATTGAGCGTGATCAAAACAGAGTTTTGGAGGTAGCACCGCTTGTTGGTTGCACCGGATTTCAGATAGTGTTTCTGAGTTTGTATTGGTAAACTGTAACACCAAAAAACTATTTTGAAGGAATAGACCCAAATTTATGCTGAAAAGAAAAACATGAACTTGTCCCAAAAGTCAAAACTTGATGGGTGTAAAGTATGCGGGCTTTTGGCCAGGACTCATTTTTGACCCAAAATGGCCGTGGACTCTGGATTGTCAAATTGGTATACCGCTCCAATTGCTGGCAAAGTGCAGTAGTCGTTACAAATTTTACTACCTTCAGTAACATAGATCGAGTCAGTGTAAAACAGGTGGCTATGACATCTGACTTTGCTTTTACTCAACGCCTTGGATTTGATTCTTTCTTTTCTTTTCTTCTCCGACGAAGCAAGCCATTATTCTTCTCAGCGAAAAAGTAGGCTGATTTCCATGGCGAATCCCCAAACTATATATATAGTATATTTTTGGGTCTATCGCTGTATCGCATTCAACCAGGATACGTCATTCGCATCCTCCCTATGGTCCTATACCAAGAAAAAGCAATACGACACCATCAACCGAAGCCGTTTCACATCACGCCGATCTATAATGGCGCCACGCGTTCGTTTGTGTAGTCGTCTGCAGGCTGCAGCAATCTGATCACTTCGCACCGAAAGCAATCGCTCCTCTTATAAACAACAAAGACCCCACGGAGATTTCGCACCGACGTGCATAGATTGGTCATATTTGTTCTCGAGTCCCGATCAACGTCAGGTCGCGCGCCGTCCTCCTCCTCCGACGGAACTCGATCTGACACCCTAGCCAAAACTTGTAGAGCAATAGTCCCATCGTCGTTAGATAAAGGGACCTGTCTGTCTACCTGGCCGGTAGTACGCGATCGAACACTGACAGCCAGGAGAATACGGCAAAGTCGGAACCGGATACGCAAGCTAAGCGGGCGGCAAGCTATGCCCGGATCGATCGAGCTGGGGAATTGTACCTTTGCCAACCAACAAAGAGGGACGACGACGTGCCTGGTCAGAGCAGGCGGAAGCACCTCGGCGAAGCCACGGGGCTCTTTGAGCACGGCACGGCACGACGCACGACGCACGAACTGAAACTAGACTGGAGGACCGGACGCCGGCCCTATCCCGGCCCGCCACGTCACATGGCGTCCCTGTCAAATCCATGGGAGTCGGTGACCACTGACCAGCTGCATGCACGGCCTCGACCGATCGGTAGATGTGCGTTGGCAACTGCTAGGGGACTGGATTGCTAGGGGAGATCGAAGTGAACCTCTCGAACCGTGGTGTCATCACGGCACCATAATCGATCGGTCAGAGCTTATTAATTGATTAATCCGGCGACGGAACCACGGAAAGTGCACTGCGCGGGAGAGAGAAGGGGGTGGTCACCTGGGGATGGCGACGAGGCGCGAAGAAGCGGAGGTAGACGAGGCAGGCGGCAGCGAGCCCGAGGGGGAGGCCGAGGCTGAGGCCGATGAGGCCGCCCACGAGTCCCATCGTCGTCCACGCACCCGCATGGAGATCACGAGCTAGCGCCGGCCATGCCCGTCGGCAATGGGCTGCCGGGAGGCTCCTCGGAGGCGTCGAAGGGCGCCAAGCGAGCAGCGTTTCCCGCGTTTTTATGGGGGTGGAGCGGGCGGCCAGTGGGATGCGCGCGCACGCTCGCGCGGGGAATCGGAGGAAATGATGGCGCGCGTGGGATTTTGCATGGGTTCTGCGGGCGGCGCGCGCGGGCCAGCCGGCTCCGTGCCTCCGTGCCGCGGTGGGTGCTGCCAAGCATCACGAACCGCTCTCCCTCAAACATAACGTCACTGCAGAAGCTTTTGGTTATACCCTCGAAAAAAAAAAGCTTTTGGTTATCACTTTTCTTAAGTTTCTTTTTTGCATGGTAGATCTGATTCTTTTCTAGTATACTACTCCCTCCGTTCCATATTACTTGTCGCTGATTTAGTACAAAGTTATATTAAATCAGCGACGAGTAATATGAAACGGAGGGAGTAATAAAGTAATCAATTCGTTTTTTTCTTGAGAACCACTTTTTTATTTTCTTAACGGAAATGGCTTCAACAACAATGTGCGGTGGATTCCTATGGCAAATTTCCAAGTTGGATTTTCACTCTTATCTACTACTACCTCCTTTTCAGTTTAGTAGGTCATCTAAGAAATCTGGAATTTCAGTTTGTATGGCCCACAATAACTCTTCGCTCTTTATTGGCTTGCTTATTTTGGCAATACGCAAGTACTACTAATTTCCAACTGCATTATCTTTTCTAAAAAACTGCATTATCCCTAAAAAGTCCTAATGCATTATTATTTTGCAGGGAATTGCATTAATTTTTTTACATCGTACTAAAATAAAAGGCCTAGCCATATCTTGTTGGCAGTTGGTCAGAATTGATGACAACCGGGAAGCAAGCAAGCATGTAGATGGGATGCTTATTTTGTTGTGGGAGTGATGAATTATGTAAAAAATAATAATCAAGTTTTATTATATTATTTAGTTTTGAAAAATTATGAAAAAAATCATATGTAAAGAATGCACATAACTTGAAAAAATCATTATGTGTTTTTCATAATTCATGAATGATCACTTTTTCTTTTAAAAGGGACAAATTTTGTACTTATGCGGTTATGCCCTACATATATTATTTTTATTTTAGGAAAAAAAACTAGCATTAGTTTTGTTTTGTTTTGGAGAATTAGCTCTAGTTGTCACAAACTCCTTTTGACTCTAGAAAGGCAAGTCGTCAAGTTATTATGGCCATGGGCAACCTGGCCAGACAGCCCAAAACCCAAAGCCGACGGTAGGGCCCGACTCAGGCTCCAAATAAGCCTGTCAAAATGGCCCAAAAGCCCAAGAGAGCCCCAAATGCCCAAAAACCAATCCTAATTGAAATATAGCAATAGAAATATAAACCTTAAAAAATTTAAAATAATTTTTTTATTAAATAGGGAAATAACGTTTATTATTTATTTCAGACAAGGCCTAAGTTGTGATTCTACGGCCGGTATTTTAAAGCCCGTACTAAAAAAGCCCAGCCCGACAATCTTGTCTTATATTTGTCTACATACAGATGTATTAGATACGTTTGATGGTCACCGAAAGTTGGACTGGTTCTAGACCTACCTTCCTACTCACCAGCCTGTTGGCTGATGATGCTAGGAGCTCTTTTGTTGAATAAAGGCTCTCAGTTGATCGCAAAAAAGATACATTTGTATCTAGATAAATCGAAGACAAGCATTTTAGGACAAAGGTAATGCTCAATACAGATTAATCTGTGGCAAACGAGTACATTTGTTGGAAATCTTATCAACTTCTGTAACATAACGTTACTGTAAAAGCTTTTGGTTATGACTTTTCTTAACTTCACATGGTGTATCTGATTCTTTCGTAGTACTATCTTTTTTAATAAAGTAATCAACTGATCTTTTTTCTTGAGAACCACTTTTTATCTTCTCAACGGAAAAGGTTTCAACAATGTACGGTGGATTCCTATGACAAGTCCCCAATTTAAATTTCCCCTCTATCACATTTTGAGCGTACTCCACTCCCTCCTTTTCAGTTTAGTATAGGTCATCTAATTTTTTGGAATTTTCGGTTTGTGTGGCTCGCAATAACTCTTGGCTCTTTATTAGCTTGCTCATCTTGGCAATACGCAACTAGCATTAATTCCAACTGCATTATCTCTAAAAAAATCCTAATGCATTAATTTTTTTTAAAAAATTGCAGGGGAATTGCATTTTTTTTTACATCGTATAATACTAGAATAAAGGGCCTAGCCGCTGGGAGTTGGTCAGAATTGATGACGAATCGGCCGGGAAGCAAGCAAGCATGTAGAGCCAGATCGAGGAATATGGCAAAATGGGAATCGGATACGCAAGCCAGCAACCTGCTGGAAAATGGTCCGTCGCCAACTCGTGTGCCTGGTCAGAGCAGGAGAAAACCACCTCGGCTAAGGCATGGACCTTCGAGCACCGCACGACTGAACTGGCCAGAGACTCATACGTCACATGATTTGGCAATATCCCACCGGACTAGAAACTGTAGTAGACTAATCAAGGCGTCCCTATCAACCCAAATCCGATGGGGACGGGGAGGATGGGGGCCGGTGACCGGCATGCACGCACGTACGGCGTCGATCGGAGGGCCACGGCTGAATTCAATCGATTTCTGTTCGTGCTGGTGCTGCTCGCGGGACTGGATTGCCAGAGGAGATCGAAGCGCACTGATTGTGATTGATTAATCCGCGTGGCGTGGTTGCAAGTTGCAACGCGATACGAATACGATGATCGGTTAGTCACGAGGCGCTAACAAATCGAGCGACGGAACTCGAACTCACCTGGAGACGGCGCCGGGGCGCGACGAAGCGGAGGTAGACGAGGTAGGCGGCGGCGAGCCCCAGGGGGAGGCCGAGGACGAAGCCGAGGATCCCGCCCACGAGTCCCATCGTCGTCCACGCGACCACGGACGCAGCACGCGCATGGAGATCACGAGCTCACGGCCAGTCACGTACGAGGCGCGCGCCGGAGATGGACGGGACGGCCGGTGGTGCGCGCGCGCGCTCTTCCTCGGAGGCGTCGAACGGGGACAAGAGGCAAAGATCACGAGGGCCAGCAAGGTAGCTAGCTAGCTAAGCAAGTGCTAGGATGCGCCAAGCGAGCGCCGAGCGGTGTTTGTTTATGGGAGGGAGGGAGCGGGCGGAGAGTGGGATGCGCGCGGCGGGGGATCGGAGGGAGGAGAGGATACGGGTGTCGGGCGTGGATTTTGTATGTGTGCTGGCGTGTCGCGGGCGCGAGCCGGCCGGCCGCGGGTGCCACCAGGTTCCAACCGCCCAAACGCTAAAATGCAAACTAGAGTTCAAGTAAAAGTTCTCCTTTTTTTTAAGCAGTGTTCACACAAGATGCCACTTGCAGCGTCACAATTATGTCTAGCTCTGGCCCACGGCTCAAGAGAAGAAAGAGATAAAACCAAGCGGTCAGCTTCGTAAGCTCGTACTACAGACAAAGAATTGCAACCGATGAAAAGAAAGTGATAAATCTCACCGCAAGTCAGGTCACTCCTTATCATATTTTCGTACTCCCTCCATCTAGGTGGGTAAGTCATCTTAGGTTGTACATCGTGACCAAGAAGAAGAGAAAAACAAGAGACCTTAATGTTTATTTGCTAATTAATAGCATTGCATGCAATGAACTAACCACTGCATGTCATGTTTGGTAGTCTCAAGTCATTAAAAACATGCACACCCCTTGTCTTTTATTGGTTGATATGTGAAAAAACAAACAACGAGATAGAAGTTAATGCACCGCGTCTAAGTGTTTTGGAATTATTTGGTTTCGTAAGATGACTTACTCACCTAGCCGGAGGGAGTATTATTGACGATCTGATTTGCCCTTTTTTTAAGGACCGAATAACGAGCGAACGTTCACTCCAGGGGAGTCTTAGCGTGACGGAAGATACGCTCGCCAGGGAGGGAGGATCCTAAATTCCTAAGAGCATCTTCAACAGGTGCACAAAAATTCCGCGCCCTAAAATAGTTTTAGCGCGCCACTGTAGCACTTTTAATGCGCTGGACCCAACATTGTTTTAGCAGAAACCCAAAAGCGTGCGCCCAAAAAGAACACAATGTAAATTGTGAAGCGCGCCCAATCCAGAGCCCAAAATATGCTGCGCGTGATAGTGTTTTTCAGCGCGCGCACGAAAACTTTTAGAGAGCTACAGCTTCTGCTGGAGCTGCTCGGCGCCTAAAAAACGATTTTTTAATGCACGGAGCTCTTTTTGAACGCCGGTTGGAGATGCTCTAAGCGCGATCGTGCGCCTACCGAACACGAAAGTGAAACGGCCCAGACCAGTTTAGCTCCCACGGTTGGTCAGTACCTACGCATATATAATGAATTTTGGGTGGAAAATAATAATCAAAAAGGTTATTTGACAGACGTTCACTAGGAGACAAACCCTGGTGAACGCGTTCGCAACCGTCGCGTGGATCTAGGTGCAAGGCCATTGCCACGTAGATTCCCTATAGCCGTTGCAAGCTGCTATGTGATGAACACGTGTTTTTTTTTTCCAAAAAATGCACAAGAAAGGTGATCGAGGTGTGTGTGGGTGTGTCGGAGTGCTCCTGTTTGACGCCTGCGTGCGTCAAACAGATGAGCTTTCGCGCAGGGGACTTTCTTAATGGGCCAGCCCACTGATCGCGTTATGCACAGTAGCTAATAAAAATCCCATAAAAAGATCCATCTAGGAATCGAACTTAAGACCCCACTCTCGTAAGCAACTATTCTTTGCCACTCGCACCACTGAGTTCAAGGGATTACTTGGCCGCGCGAACATTTAAGAAGTAAATGTAGGGCTAGATAAAAAATCGAAATTTCGACCATTGAACATTTTTAAATTGAATTTGAACATATTTGTAATGTATAGTGTACAAATTTTAAATACACGTTAATTTTTTTGTGAAATACGCTGAACAATATTAAATACACATTGAACATTTTATGTGAGATACACAAAACAATTTTTAAATATAGATTGAACATTTTTGTAATGTACACTGAACAACTTTTAACTACACATTTAACATTTTTGTGATAAACGTTGAACAATATTTCAATACACGTTGAATATTTTTATGATATAAGATGAACAATTTTGAAATGTGAACAGTTTTCTAAAACATGAATAAAATTTGAAAATGGGAACAATTTTCAAAATCATGAACAAAACTTGGAGTTTCAAAAACATTTTCTTGAAAACAAAGTACACAAAAAAAACGAAAAAGGATATAGCATTTGAAATTTCGACCATTGAACATTTTTAAATTGAATTTGAACATATTTGTAATGTATAGTGTACAAATTTTAAATACACATTAATTTTTTTGTGAAATATGCTGAACAATATTAAATACACAATGAACATTTTATGTGAGATACACAGAACAATTTTTAAATATACATTGAACATTTTTGTAATGTACACTGAACAACTTTTAACTACACATTTAACATTTTTGTGATAAATGTTGAACAATATTTCAATACACGTTGAATATTTTTATGATATAAGATGAATTTTTTTGAAATGTGAACAGTTTTCTAAAACATGAATAAAATTTGAAAATGTGAACAATTTTCAAAATCATGAACAAAACTTGGCGTTTCAATAACATTTTCTTGAAAACAAAGTACACAAATAAAAACGAGAAAGGACATAGCAAAAGAAAATACAAAACAAAAGAAATAGAAACAGAAAACAAAATGGAAAGGAAAACAAGTAAAAAAGAAAACAGGGAAAGCCGGAAAACTCGCTAAAAGAAAAAAAACAGAAAGAAAACTGGTTGAGGGAACACTACTAGGCCGGCCCGTTTCGCGGGTGGTGGCTTAGTCGCTTCAGCGAAAGGACACCAGTTTGACGCACGCG